ATATCCAGGGTTGTGAAGCTGACTGTGTGATCTAACAGAAGAACTGGTTTTATGAGATACTTTTATTTGTAAATGGAACCAGAAAAAAAGCTACCATATTCAAAATAACTGTCTTTCATTTTTTTTGTTGCACCAAACACATGAAGTTCACAAAACAGACCACAGTAACACAGATGGGGCAAGAAGTTAAAGAAATGAACTGAACACAATAATATGTAATTTTATTTTTTCTAACAAGTCCAAGGCTAGAATGGAGGGGCCCAAGTTCAAAGCTCTTTATTATATCATCATGAACCTTTTCTACATGAATGTTTCTAGTCTCTACTGTATGAAAAGTATCAAGCATAACCTGTGATGGCCTAAGACAAACTAAAATTCAGCAATGGATATGCAGAACCATACTGTATTCACTTTGATAAATGTTTACTGAGTGTCCTCTAGTTAAACATAACATACAGCCAATACTACCACAACCTGAATCCCCAGCAGAACTTACATGGAGTCAGGGGGTCCAGACACACAAACAGATGCTCACCACAATGAGGCCAGTACTTTAATGATGAGGTTTGGATGCTTGAGAAGCATCAGAATTGAGAAGTGTCAACCACCTGAAAAGAAGGCTGGCACCTGGAATAGTGAACTTACATCCAGGTAAAGGTTCTGGTGGAGGAACTGAAAGAAATTCAGCATGACTGTAGCCAAAAAGCTTAGATTTTATCCTAAGAGCAACATGTAATCACTGAAGGAGCTTAAGCAGGGAAGTGGTATGATCAGATGTATGTTAAAGATTATTCTGGCTGAATGTGGAGACTAGATGGGGATGAAGAAGGAGTTGATAGAGGGACCCTCAGATGGTGGCTGCAGTAAGCCAGAAAAGAAAGAATGGAAGCCTATATACCAAGGAAGTGGAAATGGAGAAAATAGGACAAGAGACAAATCAAGAGGCTTCTATAAGTGATAACTGACTGAATGGGAGAAAGGAGCAAGATAAGGGAAAGGCAGAGCCAAGGATTACACACAGATGCTTGGCTTAATTAACTGAGTAAACTGCAATGATGTCACTCACTGTAACAGAGAATACAGCAAGTTTCTGGGGGAGATGATGAATTATACTCTGGACATTTTCAGTTTAGCTACCTGTGAGATATCAAAGTAGATATGTCCAAAAAGAGATCTGGATCGGAGATTTGGAAATATGGCATGAGATCATCCAGGGGAAAGTTTATGAAAAAGAGAAGAGGATCTTGGAGTCTAAGAAACTCCAATGGCAAAGGGACAAGGACACATACTCCATAGAAGAGACTGTGAAGAAACAGGCAGAGTAGGAAGAAAACCAGAAGAATGTCATGGAAGCCTAGCGGCGTGAGCATCACACAAAGGCAGTGACAGTGTAGAATGTTCCTGAAAGACCGAATAAGGTAAAGACTAAGGAATGTCCATTGGATTTACTAAGACTTACTGGCAACCTTTATGATAGTTTCAAAGAGGTTGTGGGTGGACAAGGGCAGATTGAGGCAGGCAGGATGAGGAGTGTGTGAAAGGTGAAGAGGAAATAATGAGTATTAACAACTTGTTCAAGAAGTTTGACTGTGAAGGCAAAAAGTGGAATAGGGTAGTAATTGTAAAACAGGTGGGAGTTGAAGGGCACATTTTGGGTGGTCTTTTTATTTTAAACATGTTAGATATAAAAATGTTTAAACGTTAATGGGAAGGAGCCAATAGAAAGACAGAGAAGAGGACATAACTGAAGTTTCTGATAAAGTAACAGGAAATGGGATCCGAAGCAAAATGCAGATAAACTGTAGAAAGGGGGGAAATCTTCTATTAAAACACAGGAGAAGATGGAAAGGATAGGTATGGATGAAAGTGGCTTTAATGACTGGGGAGTCAGAGGTTGAAGGCAATTCCTTCCTCCCTCTCCCTCTCTGTCTCCACACACACACACATATTCTGCTGAGTGAGTCTGCATTTTTTATTTCTACCAGCAATTTATGAGGGTTCCAATTTCTCCATAACATGACCAACACTTACTATTATCTTTCTTTTTATTATAGTCATTCTAGTGGATGTGCAGTGGTTTGATTTGCATTTGGGCACACTCTCTTTTGAATCTCCTATAGTCCCTGTGAAGAAAGAAAAGTTTCCTGTTAAAAGTAAGAGGGGAGATAGCAATAGAAAGTGGAATGAAGCAACAACATAAAAAGGTAGAGAAGTCTAAAGCAGCCACCAGGAGTAAGAGAAAGAGTTCTCTCCAGGGAAACCTAAAAAGTGCTGAGACAGCCCAGTGGAAACTGAAGACCGTAAGTGTGAGAATCCTATCCGTCTGACCTCCTGTGAGATTTTCTTCCCTAGGGAAGTTTTGTTTTGTTTTGTTTTAAACTGATCTAACCAGAATTAGAATGGGAAGCTTCTCTGAGGATTTTTTCATTTAAAGGCAATGACAGAAGTGCTCCTGAAAAATCCACTGTTTTTGTGTTTAAAATCCTGTTACACATTAGAAATGACAGTTTGCATCAGATTCACTCTCCTTAACCCTTGAGAACAATGCACATATGTTCACTGAAGCAGATCTTACTGTAAGGACTTAAGCTACAATCATCAGGTACTAAATTCACCAAATGACAAACTGCAACAAACATCACACATCCATCATTAAAATAATGGGTAATTCCACCCTGGCTGGTGTGGCTCAGTGGATTGAGTGCTGGCCTGTGAACCAAAAGACATGGATTCCCAGTCAGGGCACATGTCTGGGTTGCAGGCCAGGTCCCCAGTTAGAGGCGTGCAAGTGGAAACTGATCCATGTATTTCTCACACATTGATGTTTCTCTTCCTCTCTTTCTCTCTTCCTTTCCCTCTCTCTAAAAAAATACGTAAATAAAATCTTTTTTAAAAATGGGTCATGCCTTTAAAACATGTCAGAGAATCATATCACAAACTGTTAATAATTTAACAGTGATAATAACAATCATGTATACAATAATAAGTGATTACATAAAAGGAAATGACTTTTCACTCTGTTTTCACCCTTGCAGGGTATGAGATACAGCCAGTCTGGTTTAACTACTTCAATAAGTACATCCTTATATATTTAATTAATTTAGAGATATATCATTAAAGCACGCTGCTGCATACTAGTTTTGTGCTCAGGGATCACATCTTGGAACTGACTTATATGTGAGCTAGATTTAAACCAAGGATTTTGTGGCACAAAGCACTAGTTGCTTCACTTCTCCTTTGCTGAGTAATATAATACCCCAAAACTCAGTGGCTTAAAACAAAAGCAACGTGTTGTTTCTCTCAATTGTTTTAACTGGACACAGCTGGGGTTAGTCATGAAGCCATAGGCACTGGGGGAGCAAAACTAGGGTCTCTCCTGGTGGTCTCATTCTTCATCTAAGCCCAAGCCTCCAAGCCCAAAGCCTGACTTATTGAATGTAGTACACAAAGAAGGAACAGTATAATAATAATAATAAAGGTCTTTGACTTCCCTTCAGTTTTATCACCACTATGACTTTTAGATAAAGTAGGACAGTGTCTCAAACTTTCCAGCTTGAGCTGCTGATTAAGATGGAGCCAAACTCTGGTTGGAACATGCAGGTACTCTTTAATTCTAAAATTTTAAAAGAATTTTTTAAAGCTGAAAACTTGATAGCTTTGGTTTTTATGGCTATTTTCTGAAGCTCCCAGAACTTGATCATGTGGATCATACACATAATCACTGTGGAAGAAATCTTTTTAATGACTAATATCTTTCCTCTTTATGAAAAGAAAGACTACAAGGATAGACTGATTGACAGGTATTCATAAAATAGATTTAAAGATATCAGTCCTGGCCGATGTGGCTCAGTTGGTTGGAGGACTGTCCAGAGACCAAAGATCGAGGGTTTGATTCCCATCAGGGCACATACCAGATTGCTGGTTGGATCCCCAGTCAGGGAGCATAGAAGGCAGCCAATTGATGTTTCTCTCTCTCGCTCCTTCTCTCTTCCTCTCCGAAAGCAATGAAAAAAATGTCCTCGGGTGAGGATTAAAAAAAAAAAGATCTCCATCCCACAGACTAACTGCTGTATTAATAGAATCTAAATATATAGCTATATACTCAAACCCTGAAAGCAGTTCAAAGAGGTGAAATTCACCCAGTGTTCACTTCAAATGGATACTTTGTACAGTTTAAACCACACAATAAACTACCATCAGGGTTAAATAATTTTTCCATTCCTTTCAGCATTATATACTTTGATGTTATGATTCCACAATGCACATCAGTTTCAGAAACTCAGTTTTTGCTTCCAAAGGGCTATAATCCTGCCCCCAAAAAGAATAGGCCAAAGACAAATAAGACAATGAATTTGTTGCTTTAAAAGCATTATTATAATATTGCTTTATAAAATTGTAATCCCTAATTGCAAAGAGTTCTGCAGCAGATGACTTCGGAGTGTCTCACATGCAAATAAACATAAGCAAAAAGCCACTTACAAAGCTGAAGGACCGTGTCTCGATGGCTATCTTAAACAGAACAGGTAGTTTATCTGAGGTTGGACAAGAGAAATGTCATTTCACTCAGTTAACCGCACTCCTGGATAAAGATGCCTACTATGTGAAGAGCCTTTTATAGAGTTCCGTGTCGTGGGGGAATGGGAAACAGAATACCGTGACACACTACTCTCCCCTGCTGAGGTGAAGGAGGCGGTGCTAACGTCTAGAGGAGAGGCCAAGCGCGGATGTTGAGGGTCAGGAGAGGTATCGCTCAACAAAACAACGCCGAAAGCAGCCACAGACTTGAGCTAGAAGCAAAACCGCGTCCCTGCAGCTCAAAAAAGAGAAGGAGCAAGGAAAACTTTCCCTAGCCTGTTCCCACCCTTTTCTTCCTCCTGATAGGAAGAAATGCTAGCTGAGGTGCTAACTATGCGGGAACGACTGACCGGAACCCTCAGCCTGAGAGAAAGCGGGAGGGAGGGAGCAAGAGCCACAGGGCACGCCAGCCCGGCCCGCGGAGAATGGGAAGCAAAGAAGGGAAGGGGCAAAAGCGACCTTTGCGAGTTCGCACCCGCACTCACCGGCTACCTGGTAGGCCAGCCACTGCCGCTAGCCGCCTGCAGAGCCCAGCCGCCTGGAGCGCCTCCGGAACCTCAGAAAATAGTCTGGCCGAAGAAACGCTAGCTAGCCTCAGCGCCCAGGGCCAGGGAAGAGTAGGTGAGAGAGACAGGGAGCAAGGGGCGGGCCTTCCGAGTCACATGGTCCTAGCCGCCTCACGTGACGCTGGCGCAGTGCGCGTCCACCCAGCTCCCAGGGAAAGCCGCCGTTTGGGCTTCGCCTGCTCTGTGGCGGGGATGCCGTGGGTCCTCGGCATCCCGAGAAGCAGATTAGCTGTCCAAATCCAGCCTTCAGGTCCTACGAAGAGTAGCGGTGGATCTTGGTGGCTGCGGAGGCTGACAGGTTTTTGTCGGGGAATCTGGGACGCGAGAGGGGTGGTCTGCTGTTCTCCCGGGATGACTTGATGGCGGGGAGGGTCGGCCTAGGGCAGAATAGCGAATGACAACTTCTTTCCTTGCACCTTAGCGCGCTCCCCACGTGGTGCTGCCTAGGGTGAAAGACCTAAGAGGAGAGACTCGTTTTACTGTAGAGACGTTCCCTCGTGTACCCACACTCACCTGAAAAGCACCTGAGTAAGACTGCAGAGTACAGAAGGTGGCAACTGCACTAAGATAGGGAGTGGGGCACAGGGCTCAGGTGATTGCAGGAAGTCAGAGGTACCTGGGAAGCTGGCTGTCAAGGTTGGGAGAGACCTAAGATGGCAAATGACTCAGGCCTTTTCTTAATATAAATCAGTAAACTAGGGCCTGGAAAGGGGATGCTTCATGCCATTCCAGCTTGTTATCTACGTAGAGGAAATCACTCTTATAAAATACTGTACGACTTACGAAAAAGTCCTAATTGGCTCTACCGGATGAAGTCCAAACTTCCTGGCATAACTTTACAAACAATCTCGTTCAAACTTACTTTTCCCGTTTGAGCTCCCATGAACGAAAACTTTATTTTCTAAGTATCACCAAATAGTTCCACTATTTACTAAAAGAAGCCCCTTTTCCCTCATTTTCCAGCACTTTCTCAACAGTACTCTGTCCCTGACTACAGAGAATTCTTGTTTTCTTTGACTACTCAACTTTCTTGGGATTACTACTCCCTAAGTATCTTTACTCCTTTTTGTATTTGTTCATTCTTTTGCCTCTGTCTGAAATGCCCTGAATCACTACCTTCCCCCTCCTTAAAGAAAACAAGGGCCAAACAATAGTTAAAAGTGTAAAAATAGATTTTATTGGAAACTATTGCAACAGGAGAATTGAGGCAGGCTGTTTTCTCCTATTGCAATAGTTTCTTAATAAAATCTGTTTTTACAGTTTTAACTACTGTCAGGCTCTGCTCATTTTTTTTAATTTATCCTTAACCAAGGACATTTTTTCATTGCTTTTAGAGAGAGAGAAACATCAGTTGGTTGTCTCCCATATGCACCAAGACCCAGGATGGTCTGTGCCTGAACCAGGGATAAGAACGCACAACCCAGGTACTTGCCTTGACCATTAATTGAACCCACAACCTTTCAGTTACTCAAACCAACTGAGCCACACTGGCTTGGACAGGCTTAGTTACTTTTAACATCACCCCAAGGTACACATCAGTCTTCTCTCTCAGAATACCACTCTCTTCTCTCTCAGGTCAAATACCACTTACTCTTGTCTTCCTGCCCTGTTTCCTCTTCCCTAATTCAGAAGCATCAGGAATTGAGGTTCACTCAGACACTGTCAACTGTAATTTCTTCCCTGATTTCTAGGACACTGTACATAGTCTGTTATATAAATCTCAAATTGTCCAAAAATGTACTGTGCATTTCCTGTAAGAGGTAAATTATTTATCACTGTTGTCTTCCCTAGCTTATAAACAATTTAAAACAGAACTTCTGAGCTTGGTATACAGTGCTTTCAATATCCATTAAAAGAAGTGGCTTCACCAAGGTCATAGCAGTTCAGTGAATTTATTTGAAAAAGCCTACTTTCCTCAAAGAAGCTGAAGTCAGTTTCTTTAGGCTACCACCTGATCAATACTGGGAGGAAAATGGGGTTTGAGTCATTAAATATTTGATAGAAGACAAGTAGTAGGTAGATGAAGAAGGGAGGAAAAGACCTTCCAGGATAGAGAGCAGTATGTTCAAAGGTAGGGAGGCATGAATCAGTATTATTTCTTTAGGAAAATCAAGCAATATTGTATGGCTGGACTTAGCGACCTCCCTTACCTCTGGGACAAAGGAAACCTGATTAGTTAATGTTGATGCACTCATCAACATTAGAATGACATATTTGTTAGTATTACTTATTGAACTAACTTTCCATCAGACAAATCATACATTCTTCACCTAACATTAGCCTGTGGACTCATACTAGGTGACTTTTTACCCCCCTTTTTTTTTAGTTCCTAAAGCTCTCTATAATTGTTATATAAGAATAACAAAATTACTTGTTCCAAAAAAAAATTATTTGACAGCACTCTAAACTTTTTCTACAGAGCATACAGAGCAAAAAAACTCAATTTACAAGTAGTACTTTAAAGAAGAAACTGGCTTCTACTGCCAGAGGTGGGGGAATACTATTGATGTTCAGACTAATTGATGGCTATCCTGGTAAAAAAAGTATCTACCAAGAACCTAATGAAATACAATTTATTTAAGGTTTAAGTTGGAATGAGACATAGGAGAACAATTTTAATCATTCTTGGGGGCTTTGAAATTACATTTCAAAAATTAATCTCTCTAAATGGAAAATTAAAACATTGTCTTGCTTTTGCTCCCTTTCTTCCACTGTGCTCTTCTGTGAGTATCAGTTTAAGTTGCTGTGGGTCAACCAATCCAGCCCTACTTCCTTCACCTGGACTATCTAACCCCTGATTAAGTGCACCTTTACACAATTTTCTTTGCTAAGAAAATCTTCTGAAGGTCCCTTAAGTGGACCCTTGTTTTGCATAGGCCATTGCAAAATCCTTGATATTAGGCAAGCAAAAGTAAAAGAGATTACAGTTACTTCTTCAAAGACTCGAATATTATTTCTTCCAAGAGAAACAGCTGGAAGCACCCAGATTATCTTTACCTTTTTTCTCTGCTCCTTTCCTCCTCTTGGGGTTGGTAAAGATTAAGAGAAACAATGGCTAAATAAGGAACATTAATTAATTAGGGAATAATCTTAATTAGGTCACTATATAAGATTGTTTACCTGTTTTTGTAATACCCAGTAAATTTGTTCTGTCAGTCTCAAACAATATAAGTATTTTGAAAATTGAAGATTACATAATTTTTTTAGGATTCTGCAATGTAATAAAATACAGAACCTGTCTAGAGGAGGATTCCACCTTGATTTTCAATTAGCTAAACCAAACAGGGTAAACATGACCAGTTACAATGGGTTTTACAACTTAAATCATTATTGATCTACTTTGGGGATAATATCTGTTCCTATAGTTGGGATAAATAAACATGGCATAAAATGTGGAAATAATATTGAAAGAAGTGGTAATGGGCAATTAAAAAAGAATTTTTATCCTTTTTTTTGAGAATTTTTATTCTTCTTTTTTCCCTCACCACAAGAACCAGAAGTATTTTTGTTTGCTCACCATGCAAATACTTTAAATAAATAAACAAGAATTTTAGCCCTTTCTAAAGTAGACTACTCTGCTGATTCATAACTTCACCCACACCAAGACAGATTTTGTGCTAAACAGGTAGCATAAAGAAACAAACCTACCTGCTACCTAGACCAGGCATGAGACCCTTCTAAGCACAGTATCTCTCATGAGTGTCTGTATAACTCCCATATAAGGTCACCTTTATGCATGATCCAATACAGTCTGCGTAGAATTTCTTCCTTGTCCTTTGACAGGTGAAATAGCTTCTTAAATATAGAATTCTTGCACTGTCCATGTGAACTGATAGTGCCCTATTTATTTTATTCATCAGTAGTGGTCCTGGTTTGATCTTTATTTAGATGTGGCAGCACCACCAGGAGCAACATGTTTTAATAGGAAGCCACCAGCTTCTGGTAAGAATTATTAGTTCTCTAGTCCTCCAGAGGGCAAGAGGCATGATTAAATTGGCTATGAAGCAGGATCATCTTCTGGATGTTAGTATGCATCTTGAAGACTCCTCAGAATGACCTCTGGGTGGTGATGGGTGTAGTAAGAATATTTTCATATGGGGTTTAATATTTCAAACCTTGTTGGTTTGAAATACTAAAAGTGATGTTACCTGGGACAAGTGAAATAACACTATGGGGAAACAATTAGACAAATCTAGAATGGAGGACAAGAACCTTCCTAGCCTTTGTCTCTTCAAAAAGTTAAGTCTATGGGGGAGATGGGGGTAATGTTTTAGCTTAAAAAAGATTAAAGAATGATACTGAAATGTAACACATGAACTTGGATGGAATCATGGTTCCATAAAAAATTCTAAAGCTATTAAAGATATTTTATGGAGAATCATAAAGATTTAATATGGATTGGATATTAGATATTAGGGAATTACTGGCTTTTTAAAGATGTAATAATAGTAATATTGAGAATATCCTTATTTTTAGGAGATGAATACCAGAGTATTTAAGGATTGAGTGTCATGAGGTCTGCAGATGGTTCAGCAAAAATAAATTAAAACTATACACTCCATATCCATAAAGAGAGAAAGCAAATACGGCAAAATGTTGAATCCAGGTGTTCTTTGAATTCTTCTTTTTCATAGTGCTGGAGGATGGAATAACATATGACCTTTGTACTCCAAACTAATAAAGCAAGACATTTCAGCCCTGCTGAATTTGAAATTCAACTGAATTTCAGTCCGTTTGAATTTATCTATTCAAAAAGGTTTTTTGAATGCCTACCATATGCTAAGCACTGTTATTAAGCTTGGGTATTTACATTGGTAAATAAAATAATAACGGTCTTTTTCGTGGGTGCTATGCTTCATCATCCTAACACTCTTAAGACTGAAGGACTTACCATCCCAGCTTTTGAGAAGGTCAGTCCTCTGTAGTATTAATCTTAAAGAAAGTTTCTTTACCCAAAGTCATGCCCCTTCTAAGGCCAGCCTGTAACAAATGACTGCTTGATGTGGTATTGTTAAGATCTGAATCCCTCACCTCAACCAGGGACAACTCTAAAGAGTCAGCCCAACTTCAGAACTTTTCACAGGGTTGACTGAAGCCTGGTTGTGACTATACTGCAGCCCACTTTGTCTGTATGCCCAATCTTTCTTCCATCTCTTTTCTCCACAGGTCCTGAGAACATCTACCTTTGAAGAGACATTAAACACCTAAGCAGAATGACTTGGTCAGCTGGTGTCAGTCAGCTCTTCATGAGCCACCCCAATACTGGCACAATGGATTCACAAATATAGAAGATATGATTGTAGGGAGGAAGGTCATACATGGACCCAACAGCATTATCTCCCACTCACCCAAGTTAACTAATGCTATTAGATTAACTAGTTATCAGAAACCATTGCTGAGACCCATTACTACACTCTCCCCTTTTAAAAAATTTTTTATTTACTTTTTTTTTTTAGAGAGGGGAAAGGAGGGAGAGAAACATCAATGTGTGGTTGCCTCTCACATGCCCCCAACTGAGGACCTGGTCCACAATCCATGCATGTACCCAGACTGGGAATCGAACTGGCAAACTTTTGGTTTGCAGACCGGCGCTCAATCCACGGAGCCACACCAGCCAGGGCTGCACTCTCCCTAGAAGACACCAAACAACCACTTGGTGAAAAGGTGACCATATTGGACTCCTTCCAATCTGGATGGGTGGTCATTCATTTTAACATGAACAGTTACATATTTTGTGGGTTTGCCTTTCCTGCCTGCAGAGTTTTGTCTACCATAACAATCCAAGGGCTTATATTATGTTTGATACACCAACATGGCATCCTACTTACCATTGCATTTAACCAAGGAGCCCACAGTATAGCAAAAGAGATGTAGCAGTGGGCAAATGACCATGAAATCCATTGGACATATCACATGGCATAACACGCAGAAGCTATTGTCCTTATAAGCAATGGAGCAGCCTGCTGAAAGCTTGGATGAACTGCCAGCTTAGAGATGATATCCTGTGAGGACAAAGCTACCCTCCAGGATGCAGTAATACTTTAAATTAATCACCATTATATGGTGCTATATCCCCAATAGGAGAATACCTGGGAGCAAGATCCAAAGTATGGGAGCTTCCAGTATGAAAGCAGGAGTGTCCCTATTGATCATCAACCCCTCTGGGGAATTTATGCTTTTCAGCCTCACAACTGTAACCCAAGTTTAAAGGTCTTGATTCCCAAAGGAGGAGCATATCTACCCAGAAACACAGCAAGGTCTTTTAAAAAAAATTTTTTTTAATTATATTTTATTGATTATGCTATTAAAGATGTCCTGATTTTTCCTTCTTACCCCCCCTCCACCCAGCCACCCCTTCTCCCTCAGGCAATACCCCAACTATTGTTTATGTCCATAGGTCATGTATAAATTTTTCGGGCTACTCCATCTCCTATACTGTACTTTACATTCCCATGGCTATTCTGTAACTACCTATTTGTATTTCTTAATCCCCTCACTTTTCCACCCATTCTCTCCCCACTCCCTTCCCATCTGGCAACCTCCCTGTAACTAACTTCTCTTGTTGCTTTAGAGTTTTTAAACTTTGACCTTTTAATTATGATATGTCTTGGATTGGGCCTCTTTGCACCCATCATAATTGGGATTCTTTCTGCTTCCTGGACTTTTATGTCTATTTCCTTCAAATTAGGGAAGATTTCTTTCATTTTTTTTTTCAGATAGAGTTCCAATTTCTTGCTTTTTCTGTACTCTTTCTGCTACTCCTGTGATGCGAATGTTGGACTTCTTGAAATTGTCCCTTGCTTATACTATCCTCATTTTTTTTTGCATTCTTTTTCTTTTTGTTCTGATTGTTGTTTTCTTTCTTTTTTTTTTTTTTGCCTACTTATGTTGCAAATCATTTATGTGATTCTCAGTTTCATCCACTCTATTGTTTCCCTGTAAGTTGTTCTTTGTTTCAATTAGTTTATCCTTTGTTTCTGACTGGGTCTTATGCTGCTGAGGTCCTCATTAAGTTCCTTGAACATCCTTATAAACAGTGTTTTGAACTTTTGCATCTAATAGATTGCTTATCTCCATTTCATTTAACTCTTTTTCTGGAGTTTTGATCTGTTATTTCATTTGGGCCATGTTTCTTTGTTTCCTCATTTTGGCAGCTTCCCTGTGTTTGTTTCTATGTATTAGGTACAGCTACTTTGACTCCATTTCTTGGTAGTGTGGGTGGCCTAATGCAGTAAGTGTTCTGTAAGGTCCAGTGGCACAGCCTCACTCTTCACCCAAGCTGGGTACTCAAGATGCACCTTTTGTGTAGATTGAGTACACCCTCTTGTAGTTGAGCCTTAGTTGCTGTTGGCAGATCAATGGGAGGGATTTACCTAGGCCAGTCAGCTGTAAGGACTGGCTGTGACCAGTGACCACCAACCTCTGCCCTCTGTGGAGGATCAGCTGTGTACGAGCAGGGTGGTGGTGCTTTGACCTGGTCCGTAGCTGTCCACTGGGTATGCTAGCCCTGGGGTTTCCTGGGTGGTGCAGGCCAAGGCCAACCCCCACCTATGTTTTGCCTGGGGTACCCTGCTTGAACAGCAAAGCAGTCTGAGATGGCTGCTACTTGTGCTGGGTTTGAAGATTCCCAGGCAAAGCCAGGCTATGAATCTCAGCCAGCTGTTGCTTGTTTGATAGGATTTAGGAGCCAAGACCAGCCTTTCTTATGGAAAGGCAGCTTGGGTGGGCCCATAAGTTGGGTGGCACAGAGCCTCTGGTGATCTCCAAGGCAGGTCAAACAGTGTTAGCCATGCTGATGGAGTCTCAAATGTGGCACAAGCTTGCCGGCTCTGTGGGGGTAGAGTTTATCAAAGGGACAATGACCTCTGCTCATCTTGATGCCAGACACTTCAGTTTCTCCCTGTATACCACTAGTACCTTTCAAACTGCCACCCCAGTGCTAGAACTCTGAGGGAGTGGGTTTGAGTAGATGAGTCCATGTGTGGGTTCTATAAGAAAAACTGCTTTGGGACCCAGAAGTTTCTTCCACTGACAGTCCCAGCTGGGTTTTGCAGCCAGAAGTTGTGGGGATTTATGTTCATGGGCACTGGAATCCTGGGCTGGGGGCATGGTGTGAGTCTGGAACTCCTCATTCTGGAGACATCCCCCCCAAAATTTTTATCCATGTGGGTGTGGGATCAGCCCATTCTGCATCTGTGCCCCTCCAACCAGTCTGGATAGATGTGGTTTCTCTTTAATTCCATAGTATTCAGATTTTCATTCATCTCTGTTATGTGGTTGTCAGACTTCCATTTAGCTCGATTTCTGATATTCCTGAGTGATGGTGGTTCTGTGTTTTAGTTGTAATTTTGATGTGGTTGTGCAAACCATGTATGTCTATACACAGCCATCTTGACCAGAAGTTCCCAGTAGAGTCTTCATTGAACTTTAAGTTACAGCACTATGCAGGCACTCTGGGACTCTCCTGCCAAAGACCAACAGGTGCCAAAAATACAGACAAGAAAAAAACCCATCCTGGTGGTGCTAATTGACTAGTATCATCAAGAGCAATAGAGCTACTGTTACACAATGGAGGCATGGAGACATGTTTTGCTCATAGATAACTAGTGGGCATCTTTTAGTACTGTCTTGTGCAACTGATGGCAAACACACAAGTGAAGCACATACAGCTTAAGTGATTTGAGAGTCTGATTCACACCACTAGATAAGCCACCTAAACCTTTGAAAGTGCTAGTTGTCAGGAAAATCTAGAATGAGCAAGGGAGGAGAGAGAGGATGGATATAAATTGCAGTTTCAAGACCAGCAAGAGAACAAGGGACTTGACATGAGGCAGGAGATAGGAAGGAGGGAACTCCAGAGGTGCCCCCAGGCTAAGATAAAGGACATCAATACAGAACAGAGAGTGTTCTAAGACTGATGGTTCCTGCTCTCTGGAAAAGTGCTGAATCATGAAGAATCATGAATGTACCTGGGCAGAAGATGCTACATGACCCTTGCTTCACCGTAGTAGTATTATAATAAATTAAAATTGTGGGACCCCCTTCTCCAGTGGCCAACCAAGGAAAATCATGGGCGGCCACATGCACAGTAACTTGAAAGTAATATAACTACTTGTACCTGGGCAATAAAAGTCTGCCAAAACTAGCCAGGACATGTCTGCCCTGTAAGAACAGAATCCCTCCAGCCCCTGAAGTCAGTCTCTGCTGACTTGGCCCACTCCCATGTTCTATGGAGTACACTATCACTTAATAAATCTCTCTTGTATAAACTGGTTCAATTCTTTGTCTGTGGTCACCAAGAACCTGGTTACCTGTGCCCACATGTGAGAGTTTTTGGTGAGCCAACCAGGAGATGTCAGAGCAGTAAACCCCTTTTGCTGCCCTGTCATCCAGGAATGCCCTTTTCCATTGCCATCTATTCCATTTTGGTGAGTCTGATGTTCCCTAATGGAAGGTCAACCACTAAATTACAGGCATGGGATGGGCAATTAAAAGTCACAAGGGCACCCACCATTTGAAGACACCTATGGTAGGATAACCTGGGTGCAGAATGAGGGTAGCCTTAACCCCCACCAGTTGCAATAAAGTGTGCACACACTGGTCAGGCACACTCTGAAAACCACAGGACACTGCCCCACCTCATGGCCGCTCCCTCATATGCATAGTTTGACCTTCCATACAGGATATCAGTCACCACCTCATCTGAGCTCTGACTTCCTTTTGCAGTTTCCTTGTCAGGCTCACAAATAGTCTTTTACACTTGTCCTCTCTGGCTGACTTCTGGCCTTTATACCTGCACGCGTACCCCACTTTTCTTTTGTGTTGGAAGGGTTCCTGCTGTATTTGCACCCAGGTTATCTATTTTGGAGTCACTAATTGTTCCATTGCTAAGTATAATTGCAGAAATGAGCCATTCCAATCTTTGGCATGTATATACTGTCACTGTAAGAAGCAACATTAGTCAGAGCCACTTAACAGGCATCTACTGGTCATTTGTTACCAGAAATGGCCATGTGGAGGCACTCTTACCCAAGTAGTTGAATTTGAAATTCTGAGGTGATTTACTTGCCTCTGTGGTGGTATTTGAATTTCCCATCTTGGTCCATCATTCTGCTATGAGATCCATCTTGTCAATCTCCTTGCAACACTCCCATATCACCAGTGATAAAACTCAGAGAGGATAGGCTAGTCCAGGATCTAAAGTTAGTCAATGAAGCAGTAGTCCCTTTACATCCAATAGTAGCTAAGTCTTATACCTTGTTCTCCCAGGTACCTAATGATGCTCAGCTGTATTCAGTGTTAGATTTGAAAGGTGCCTTCTGCATCCCTTTGCATCCTGACACTCAGTATTCGGTTTTGAGTGGACTTATCCAAGCACAATGATACATCAGCAATACATTTGGATTGTATTTGCCACAAGGGTTCAGGGACAGCCCCCACCTCTTTGCTAGAGTATTTAGAAAAGGGTCTTAGAGAGTTACAGTTATAAAGAGGAGCCATTTTACAACATATAGATGATATGCTAATCTGCACCCCCTCCAAGGAGGCTTCTGATCAAAATACCATCCAAACTCTGAATTTCCCAGCTGAAACAAGATATCAGGTATCAAAGAAGAAGGCTCAGATTACCAAACAAAAAGTAAATTATTTAGGGCATATTTTGACTCCTGGGTCTAGGCAATTATCACAGGAGAGATTTAAAGCCATTAGTGAGTAGCTTTGCTCCTTTTCAGGAATAGCAGGATTCTGTAGGATTTGGATCCCCAACTTTGGGCTAATTGCCAAACATTTGTATGAAGCTATTAAGGGGCCACACACCAAGTGCATTATATGGGAAAAGGAATGTGATTGGGCTTTTAATAAAATCAAGCAGGCCCTAGTCGAAGCCCTGACCTTAGGCATCCCTAATTTAAACAAACCTGTCTCTCTATACTTAGCAGAGAATGAAGGAATAGTTTTAGGGGTCTTAGTCCAATGACTAGGGAATGAACCTCAACCGGTTGCATATTTCTCTTAAAAACGACACTGTAGCAATCGGGTGGCCTCCATGTCTGGCAGCAGTTGCAGCCAGAGCCATACTGAGGAAGCTGCTAAACTAACTCTCAAGCAGAAGTTAGAGGTCTTAACTACACATCAGGTACAACGTGTATTAGAAATGAAAGGGCACTTTTGGCTAACAGGAAATAGACTGACCAAATATCAGGCCCTTCTTCTGGACAATCCTAAAGTAACTGTAAAGTCCTGTAATACCTTAAACCAGGCCTCCTTAATGCTATAGAATCATCCCCAGACTTGACCCATTCCTGGTCAGACATTATTAATCTTACTACAGCATGACTGGCTTGCTAGACCA